TAGAAACTATTTATTATTTGATTCTTTGTAGGAAAACTTGATGACCCTTGGATTAGATCATTTATAATTTTCTAAAATGTAGACCTCATCTTGTCATTCCCCAGTTTATGACCCTTCAGGGCATCCCAAGGATAAGGTGGACTCGAGCCTGACCGGTACAAGGCCTAGTAAGTTTTACCTGGTTTTGCTGACCTTTCCAATTTTGTTTCTTCCTTGTACTCAATGGTTCAGCCATTCTGGACTACTTTTTTATATGTTCCTGTATTTGTTTGCTATTGTTCTTGTAAAACAAATTGCCGTAAATTTAGTGGCTTAAAACAAAACAAGATGTATTATTTTATAGTCCCAGAGGTCAGAAGTTCAAAAAACAGGTTGTTGTTTTTTTTTTTTTTTTTTTTTTTTTACTAACCTCAGGGTGTTAGCAAGGCTATTCCTTCTGGAGGCTCTAAGGGAGAATCCCAAGAAATGTCCCTTTGCCTTTTTCAGCTTCTAGGGTCTGCCTGCATTCCTTGGTCCATGGGCTCTTGTTCCATTTGCAAAGCCAGCCTTGGAGCATTTTCCAGGCTCTGATCTGCCACCACCTTCCTTCTATATGTAAAATGAACCTGTGGTTACATTGGGCCACTGGGATAACCCAAGATAACCTTTTAATTTTAAGAGCCTTAATTTAATCACGTCTGCAAAGTCCTTTTTGCCATGTAAGGTAACATATTCACAAATTCTAGGGTTTAGGATGTGAACATCTTTTGGGTGGGCATTATTCTGCCTACCACAGTGCTTCATTCTGTCCAGATGGGGTCTTTACTATTTATTTAAACTAGAAAGGGACTAGGCCAGAGTGGGTCTGCCCTGGGCTGGCCAGTAGTGTGTTCGTGCAGGAATGATTTCACAACTCAAATCTGCGTGATTTTGAGAGGGCATTTGTTAAAGCTGGGACAGTGAAACAAAGGCAAGGCTTAGGGTAGAAGAAGCAACAGGAGAGAGCCTGGGTAGTGCTCTGCTTCGGCTCCCTAGAAACATTACGGGGAACAAGTGAGCCAAAAGCGGGACTGTTGTTAGCTCCCTGAAAAGTCAAAGAAAAGGGGGCTTGGAGACAGGTTTATGAGGTTAACCTGGGACAAGCTACCACAGCCCATTGCTCCCCTGGTTGCAAATGTTGTGGGGACCCTTAGAGTTTAGGAGAGAAAAGTAAAGATATACACCTGAGAGGGAAGAAGGGTGTGGGGGTGCCCCAGAGAGAGCCAGTGAAGTTCTTTGTCTTGAGGGTTTTTTTCTTAATTTTTATTTGATCCTTAGAGAGAGAGAGGGGAGGGGAAGAGAGAGAGAGAAACATCAAGTTGACTTGTTATTCTATTTATTTATGCATTAATTGCTTGATTCTTGTATGTGCCCTGATGGAACCCATAATCTTGGAGTATCAGGACAATGCTCTAACCAACTGAACTACTCAACCAGGACTTATTATCTGATTTCCAAAGGCAGGAATTTAGAGAAGTCTTAGGGGAGGATTCAATATTCATCAGCTTTAAGCTGATTTGCCAAAATGAGATTTATTTTCCTAACTTCATCCGTCCTTGGGTGTGGTTGGCAGAAATGGCTCTAATTGGATATCTGTTATCTGTCTCTCTGAGTAGAGTAATTTAAGCTATTTACCCTCTGGCTGGGGAGGAGAACTGTAAACCATTTATTACTAAGTGTTCTTGCTTAGGGATGGTAGGATTTTTCGGTTTATGAGATGGCTGTAAACTGCTTGGCCATTTCAGTTTCTCTATTCCATTAGGCCTGGCTTACTAACCTGTCTTGGTATCTTGTTTTACACCTATACTTCTTCTGTGAGACTAAATTATTTTAGTGTTTACACCAGAGTCATATTATGTAAATGCTGGGTTCTAAAATTTACTTACTAAGGCAAAAGACAATGTTCGGTTCTATTCTATACCATTCTATTTTTTTTAGTGCTGATTACCCTGTAAATTGATCTCACAATCCACTAATGGATCATAACCCATAGTTTGAAAACATCGTCTTGAATCATTCATAAAATATTAATAGTATTTTCTGTAGCTGATATTGTCAGTTCCTCTAACTATCAGTGTTTCTCTGTGGATCATAATTAATTCTGCAGTTTTTTTCTTGAAGACAAAGCCATTCCAACCCACTTGGTAAGACCATCTGAACAATGTTCCAAATTGCCAGGAATATATAACAGAGAATAACTGAGTAGGGAATAACAGAGTTGAATCCCCCTTTTCTTTTTTCTTGAGCATTTGCAATCAGATTTGCATAAATCAAAGCTAACTAATAATTTGAATCTACCTAATTAGCTTCTTCTAATTCGGAATCTAGAAATAGTATGCTCGGACTATCTAATCTGTTCAGTACATCTAAGTTTTTCTCATCCTTTTTGTATAAGCTTCACGTATTCTATACCATCACTATCAGGAGATCAAATACATAACAACAGGCAATAGCCAGACCACGTGTGATGATAGAATTCTGTCCCACACACAACCCCGGCAGCAACTGGCCCTGAATGGTCAGGACTTGACGAATGACTGTCAGTTTCTCTGTTTCTTTGCTCCCTCTCCCCAGTTTCCAACTCAGAACCCACCAGAAAAAGCCAAATATGCTCCCCAAACTTATCACATAAACTGCTCTGTTTCTACTTAGCCCACCTCCAGCTTCTTTGTGCCACAGATCTCCAACCAGCATAAGCCCGAAACCTACTTTTTCCACCACAAGGCTTTCCCGCCCCCGACAGTCTTTGAATCCCTGCCAAAAGTATGCCATGGTGGCACCTCCCTTGCTCAGCAAGCTCTGAATTCTCATTTGGGCATGTGTTCATTTCCACACTATGTTTGTTGCAAATTCTTTTCACACTTGGTTGTTTATCTCAGATTTTTTATGATGTTATGATTTTATGATGCTTTTTAACATGTGTTCTAAAATTTTATGTAACCAGATCTACTTCACACTTGATTTTTAAGACTTTCCATTGCTCTTTTGCTTGGCACATCTTTCTCAAAAGATGGTGGGATGAATTCATACACTGGCTAATGTTCCTCCCTCGATCCCAACAAGAGACAATAAGGAGGGAAGGGTTTTAACCCCCAAGAAAAGGGCAAAGAGAACAGGCAAAAACCCTTTTCCCATCCAGCTAAGTCCCTTTCCTTGCTCCCTGCTATAGAATAGTGACAGCCTGGATTATGTTTTTAACACAGGAGATTGGGAGGGTCTTGCCTGAACAATAATTATAGGAACAATGGCTAATGTTTATTTAGTACTAACTATGTGCCAGGTATTGTCTTACATACATTCACTCATTTAATTCTCTCATTAACTCGATGTAGGCACTAGTATTATCTGCATTTTACACACAGAGAAACTAAGGCCCAGAGAGATTAGGAAATAAGCAAATGAGTGGTAGACCCTGCATTGGAACACAAGTAGTCAGGCCTCAGTCTCTACTCTTAATAATTCCCTCACTATCTCTTTTTAAGGAAAGACCTAAAGATACTGACATGAAGAGTTTCCCACAAAACAGCCCCTCCAGATTATTCTACGATGAAGCCCCCAGTTGAAAAGCTCCCCTCACACAGAACTTACTGCTTCTTTTTTAATTTAAATATATTATTGTTTATACTATTTCAGTTGTTCCAATTTCCCTCCTTTGCCCCCCTCCACCCAGCCTGCCCCCATCCCACTGTCAATTCCCACACCATTGTCCATGTTCATGGGTCATTCATATATGTCCTTTGAATCAACACTTCACCTTTTTTTCAATCAGTCCTCACCTTACCTCTTCCCTCTTACAGCAGTCAGTCTGTTCTCTGTTTCTATACCTCTGGTTCTATTTTGCTTGTTAGTTTATTTTGTTCATTAGAGTCCACTTATCAGTGAGATCACATATTATTTGTCTTTCATCTACTAGCTTATTTCACTTAGCATAATAGTCTCCAGTTTTATCCATGCCATTGCAAAAGGTAAGAATTCCTTTTTTTTTCACTGCTGCTTAGTATTCCATTGTGTAAATGTACCACAGTTTTTTATCCACTCATCTAGTGATGGGCACTTAGGCTATTTCCAAATCGTGGCTATTATAAACAGCATAGCTATGAAAATAGGGGTGCATATATTTCTTCTGAATGGCTGTTTTGGGATTCTTTGGATATATTCCCAGCAGTGGAATTGCTGGGTCAAAAGGCAGTTCCATTTTTAGTTTTTTAAGGAAACTCCATAGTGGCTGCAGCCTGCATTCCCAACAGGGCACTAGGGTTCCCTTTTCTCCACATTCTCACCAGCACTTGTTTGTTGATTTATTAATAATAGCCATTTTGACAGATATGAGGTGATATCTCATTGTGGTTTTAATGTGCCTTCTCTGATGGTGAGTGATGCTGAGCATCCCTTCTTAGGAGGCTGGATGTTGAACCTGTGGGCCCTCTGTATGTCCTCCTTGGAGAAGTGTCTAGTCAGGTCCTTTGCCAATTTTTTAATTGGATTGTTTGTCTTCCTGGTGTTGAGTTGTATAAGTTCTTTATATACTTTGCATATTAAACTCTTGTTCAATATATCATTGGCCAATAAGTTCTCCCATACAGTGAGCTCTGTTTTCATTTTGATAATGGTTTCTTTAACTGTGCAAGAGGTTTATAATTTGATGTAGTCCCATTTTTAAATTTTTTTCTTTGTTTCCTTTCAACTTCTTTTTTTAAAGGTATTTATTTATTTATTTATTTATTTATTTATTTATTTATTTAAGGGAGAGGAGAAGGGAGGGAGAGAAACATTGATGCAAGAGAGAAATATCAATTGGTTGCCTCTGGTCTGCATCTGGACCAGGGATCATATGCACTGAGACCCAGGATTGATCGATCCTGCAACCTAGTTATGTATCCTGACCAGGAATCAAACCTGCATCCTTTTGGGTACAGGATGAGGCTCCAACCAACTAAGTCACACCAGCCAGGGCTTAGTTTCCTTTTTTTTTTTTTTTAAAAAACAATATGGAACTCTTCACGAATTTGTGTGTCATCCTTGTGCAGGGGCCACACTAATCCCCTTGGTATCACTCCAGTTTTTAGTACATGTGCTGCCGAAGGAGCACTTAAATGTTAGCTCTGTTCCATTGCTTTGTTTTCTTCTTCAGGGGCTCTGATTATGTAAATGACTGTCCTTTGCATGTATTCTATTTTTTCCCCTCCTCTTTTTTCTTCTTTCTTTATTTTCAGATTTACAGTTGTTTTCTTGCCCTCCTTTCCAGCTAAGCTCTCGCCTTGAGTTTATTCTTTTCTCTCTCTTTTTAAAAACAGGTTTTTATAAATAAGTCATTCAAAGCTGTTGACCCACTACATAAAGAAACCCACATTAAAGAAAAATATACCACCCTGGCCAGGTAGCTCAGCGGGTTAGCGCATTCTCCTGATACGCCACGGTTGAGGCTTGGATTCCTTGTCAGGGCACATACAAGAATCAACCAATGAATACATCAATAAGTGGAACAACAAATTGATATTTCTCTCTCTCCTTCTCTCTAAAAATCAATAAATTAAAAAAAAAGTATACAGATTTTGGTAAGAGTTTAAATTCTGAGAGATTTAAGCCTGATACCAACCCTTTGCATTTCTATAGCTTTAATTCCAAAGGACCAGTGGATAACAGTGTTAGGACACAACACTCCACTATCCTGTACAGGTCCTTCTCTCCTGGGCCAAACAGCTTTATGCTGCTTCGTAAACCTTTTGTTTGCTTCTTGGTGGATCTCAGAATCCAGTTTCTAGACTTTTGGACTTCCTTTATTAGGAAACTTCACAAGCATTTCCTGGGGATTCATACAGGCGAAAACAAATGGTGAGTCAGATTCTTGACTCGTGTCTGGATTCTTTTTGAAGCTTCCTAAAGCCTCCCCACCCACCTCCAGCCAGGCCGAACTGGGAGTTAGGTCCACTCCCTTGTGCATTCTTTTGTTTGTATAATAACATTATGGTTGGGTTTTCTTGTCTCAACCTCCTCCAGTAGATTTAGAGATCCTTCCATTTTCCTTTGCTGCTTGTTCCTCTTCTCTCAGCAAACTGGATTGCTATTACTCTCTGGACAAGCCCATAACTTCCCACCTCACATTATTCTCTCCTTGGAATATGCTTGTCAACCATCTAAGTAGAAAGACTTCCTTTCTTTTTCTTTTCTTAAGTGTAGCACCTAATGACTTTTAAAAATACCTTTTAAAAATGCAGCCGTGTAACTACCACCCAGGTCAAGTTTCAGCATCCCAGACACCCCTTCATCCCTCTATCAGTCAGGACTTCCTCTCCTCAGTCAATGCTACCCCATCAAAGATAACTTCTTTTCTGATTTCTGTCCTTGTTAGCTTTGCCCTTTCTTGGTATTCATACATATGAAATCACACAGTATATAATCTTTTGTTCTGGCTTTTTTTAAAAAAAGATTTTATTTATTTATTTTTAGAGTGAGGGGGAGGGAGAGAAAAAGAGAGGGAGAGAAACATCAGTGTGTGGTTGCCTCTGACAAGCCCCCACCTAGGGGCCTGGCCCACAACCCAGGCATGTGCCCTGATGGGGAATCGAACTGGTGACTTTCCAGTTCACAGGCCAGCACTCAATCCACTGAGCCACACTAACCAGCATGTGTCTGACTTCTTTCATTCAATAGTATGTATATGAGATTCAATGAGTACAGCACTATATAAAGTTTATGTTTTATTTTATGGCTGACAACAAGTATTCCTTAAGCAACTACTATGTGCTGGGCTTCATGACAATAATTTTGAACAAGGACTGTGGCTAATTGTGTATTCTTTTGATGCCCTGCATGATCAGCATTCTATACACAGGAAAATATAAAGCTAGACAATAAGAATGCTTCTAGTCATCACCCTCAAAGACTTGCAGGAGCTATACATTATAGCCATTAGGATGGTGCCCAGGACAGAGATGAGACTGCCTTTAATGTAAAGCAGAGTTGGAAAACTTTTGCATCAGAATCACATGAAGGACTTGATAAAACACAGTTTGTGGGAGGGGGGCCCAATCCCCAAATTTTCCCATTCAGGATGTCTTAAGTCTTGCATTTCTAACAAGTTCTCTGGGGATGCTGATACTGAAAGTTTAGGGACCACAACTGGAAAACCACTGCTTCAGGGTACCAGGTTTACAGAACTTGATGCAGTTCTCTCACAGACCCCTACTATCACCCTCATCAGTGGCAGCCCACAGCTCCTGCATCTCCTCTGGGGAAGCCTGAGGCCAGTTTAGGTCTCTTCCACTTGTGCCAGACACCTGCACTCAAGATCTCTCATTGGATGTCTCCGGGTGCTGAACTGGCATGGAGGAAGCAATGTAGTCACTTATGCTGCTGCTTCGTATTGTCAACCACATAGTCGCCTTCAAAATTGTTGAGGATGGACATTTGGTCCAGGTCAATATCTAGCTCAAGAAGTCCCTGGTGACCACGCCTGGCTGGACATCCAGGATGCCCTGAGGTGAAGGGGAACTTTTTCTGTTAGGGTTAGAGGGCAGCAGAACCTTCCAGTGGCTATGTGTTCTGGAATTTATCAGACAGAGGCGACAACAGGCTGTTGAAGGACATACCAGAAAATTCAGTGACTTCATAGACCTGGAAGTGTGTGCCAAGTACACGAGGCTCTCTGTGGCATCACAGTCCAGTTTGCCATTCTCTTCCAGGTCTGCCATCTTTCTTTCCTGCTCCTGCCCAAAGACCTTCAAGAGCTGATTCTCCTGGTGAAAAGACAGCCTCCTCAGGGGGTTTCCAGGTCTTGTGGTCCACGTGTGCCTGGGATTCTCTGAATCATCCCCCCTGCCGCTCCCCCTCTTTCTGTTTGTATTAGATTCTCTGCTTCACCCTGACTAGTGTGGCTCAGTTGGTTTGGCATCGTCCCGCAAGGCAAAAGGTTGCCCATTCAATTCCTAGTCAGGGCATGTGCCTGGGTTGCAGATTCAGTCCCTAGTCAGGTTGTGTGCACATTGATGTTTCTCTCCCTCTCTTCCCCTCTCTCTAAAAATAAATAAATAAAATCTTTAAAAAATAATTAAAGTCTTTCTGCTTCATTTTTTGGTGTTCACTAACCAGATGGGAAGACTGGTTTTTAGAATGCTACTGTTGTCAATGACAGACAACATTGTCAATGCCACTCCGTGGAAGCTGGAAGGAGGTGATGCTGCTCATCCACTGGACATGGTGGGATTCCCAGCTGAGGGCTGCGTGGAGTCTGGGAGGTTCAGGATGAAGGGGAAGGCACCTGCCTCTTGATGACTTAGTTGATATTCCTTGTAGTCTCTAAGAGGTGTATCTGGTGGGTTATGCCTGGAGATACTACTTCTTCCAAATGGGGTCCCTTGTTCTGTTGCTAAGTTGTTCATGAGCAATAGGTTCAGCAAGGGTTGAGATGTTTGACATGGTCTGTTTGGGGTTTTTCATTTTTTCTTGGGTCACATGAAAAATCTCCATACACTTTACACTCTACACATTTGTCCTTCAGCTACCGAGCTTATCTATTGCTGGGCACATTGAAGAAGCCTGTAGAGCTGAGAAAATACTATCTGAAATTAATCCTTTCCTAATTAGCCCTAATTCCAGATAATAGTTGAAGTGGAAGGCCCTTCCAATCCACAAACCAAAATTCTTTCATTTCTGAGAAAAATGAGATGGCTCTTCAATACATTCAATTTAAGAAATTAGGTGGCTGTTAAAATTGGCTGAGTGCCTGGATTTCAGAGAATGATGATTACGCAGGCCTGAAGAGGATCTTTCCACACCAACTGAGGCCCTTCAGCAGGGTCCTTATACATGAACTAGCCCAGCAGTGCGCAGTGCCACCCAGTGGTTAGCTTGCATCACAAAGGTCTTCCTTATGAGAAGTTTGTTACAGCAGAGAGGGGCTGGACCTCAAATAGGCAGATAGAAACCTGCAGAATGATCCGTAACAGCGATTTTCAACATTTTTCATCTCATGGCACACATACACGAATTACTAAGATTCTGAAGCACAGCAAAAAATATGTTACCATATTTTGTCATGTATAACACACTGCTGTGTATAAAGTGCACCATGTTTCTGGCCCAAATTTTCAGGAAAAAAACTTTTATTTTAATTAATTAATTAATTAATTAATATTCATATACTCGTTTTTTGTATTATAAAGGAATTTTAGCATTTATTTTCGAACATATGGATGTCATTATTACTTTCTAGAGTTACACATTTAATGCATAAGCATAAATAAAAGAATTAAGAAGATGGTGACATAGGCAGACACGGCTTGCCTCTTCACACAACCACATTAAATTACAACTAAAATATAGAACAACCATCACTCAGGAACATCAGAAATCAAATTGAATGGAAGTCTGACAACTACAGAATTGAAGAAACCACATCCATCGAGCCCAGTAGTAGGGACGCGGTGGTAGAACAGGCTGGTCCTACACTCATGTGGATAAAAATTTGGTAGAGATATCTTGGGAGCTAGGAGTCCCAGAGCCACATCAGGCCCCCCAGCCCAGGATTCCAGTGCCAGGAGTATAAGTCCCCACTTCTGGCTGTGAAAACGAGCAGGGATTGAGTAAGTTGAAGAGGCTGCTGGAGCCCTAAGCAGTTCCTCTCGGAACCTACAACGGATTCACCTACTCAGACTGTCTCTCTCTGAGCTCCAGCACCAGGGTGGCATCTTCAAGGGCACCACTGGTATACAGGGAAAGACCGAAGTGTCTGGCATCAAGGCAAACAGAGGCCATTGTCCCTTTGCTGAGCCCTCCCCTCACAGAGCCAGTCGGCTGGTGCCATATCTGAGACTCCATCAACCTGGCTAACACTGTGTGACCCACCTTGGAGACCCATAGAGGCTCTACGCTACCCAACTTAAAGGCTCACCCAAGCTGCTTTTCCATAAGAATGGCTGATCTTGGCTCCCACATCCTACCAAACAAGCTGGCTTTAGTGAGCCCAGGCGGCAGCCAGATTAGTCACAGCTTGGCTTCACCTGGGAATCTCCAAACCTAGCACAAGTAGCAGCCATCTCAGATTGCTTTATAGCTCAGGCAGGGTGCCCCGGCCAAAACACATGTGGGGCC